ATGCCTTTGTTGGATTACTTGGATCCTACAATGATATCAACGTGCTAAAACACTCTTATGTTTTTGCTCTCCTTTCAAAAGGTCGGGCTTCTCCAGTCAATAGAAATGATTATATACTGAGATATTATCTTGGTGATGATATATATCCAAAGTGGACAATGTTTGTCAACATAATTTCATCTCCAAGAGGCAATAAGCAAATACATTTTGTAAAATTTCAAGAGTCAGCAAGAAATGATGTTAAACGAGCATTTGGAGTGCTCCAAGCACAATTTGCTATAGTGTGTGGACCATCGCATTTTTGGATAATTGAAGTGCTTAAGGATATTATGAAAGCATGCATAATATTACATAACATGATTGTCAAGGATGAGCGAGACGCTAATGAGTTGGACTTTAGTTATCATACAATAGATGAGAGTTCTACTATCACAGTGATACTTGAGCGGAGTTCAAGCCTACTCTAATTTATTCATACTCAACATTGCATTAGAGACAAAGAAACTCATTCCAAACTCCAAGTTGATCTAGTCGAGTGCCAGTGGAATATGTATGAAAACTTATAGGTACTAATTAAACAAATGTTATTACAGTACTTGTAGCATCATTGCTACTACTTAAAAATTGTTTATCTACTAATAAAAAAGAACTATATCTTCTTTTCCAGGATTTTCATTTGGTGGCGCTAAAATATTCAGCTTGCAATGGAGACATGCCACTCGTATCCATCGATATTATTCGTTCTTCCTCTCTTAGTTACTCCATTTGTATTCTCTCTTTCTCTTGCACTAGACGTTCTTGTTCTTGAAGATAACATCTTTCAAACATTTCAACTTTCTTCTCATTCATTACCTTTATCTCTTCCTTCATTTATTCTAATAGTTTCACGAGTGCAGAACTTATTGTATCATCTCCAGGTTCTTTGCTCTTCAATTTTCTTGGTTCCTCTTTCTCAGTCTTTCTTCCAGGTGGCCCGTCTAAGGTTACTTATGACCCACCATCATCTCCTAAATTTATTGAGTCCAGTTTAGAAGGCGTAGAGCTGCCAGGAGTTGCATTACCTTTTTTTTTTCTTTTTCTTTTTTGACTGAGAATCTTTCATCCAATTTGGTTGATACCTTAACTTATTCCAACAATGTTCAAACTAAAAAAGAGATTTAAAGAGTTCCTTGTACAACTTTTTAGCATCACAAATCTGAAACTCATTATCATGTCATTACAAGTACACTATTTTGCAAACTCAAAATATTCACTTATACCTTGTCTTTCTCCGTTAAACCACTAGTGGTGGATTCTACTTGAGGAGAGATTAGTGAAGATTGACCTATAAACTCTTCATCTAAGTTTGTTCCATCATTCATGAGATTGGTAAAGTAAGCACCATGTTGGAATTGCTCCATAAGTAATGCCTATAATTCAACATGGCCACCATGGTAAAATTAACAAACTATTGTACATTTTACTATCAAAAAAAATATTCTACTCTTGAAGAAATGATTCTTCTCTACAAAACTCCACAACTAAATATTACTAAGACCTAAGTGTCATTGGTACCTACTAGAAGCAAATAAGAACATTGATGTGATATCAAAGCTAAGTTAATAGTAGAAAAGCACATGCTTGTCTAAACTAGTTGCATTAGAGAAAATCGTGCCTATTCTTCAAATTGTTTAAAAAAAAAATTTACAATACCACCATTGCAAAAGGGCTCAATCTTTGTCAATGCAAATTAACATACGATCACTCTTTTTCAATGTAAATTAGCAAAATAAAGAGAACCTTAAAAATCAAATGATCAAACTTGTCACCAACAAATTTCCATATCTATTTCAATGAAAAAAATGCTCCATAGATAAGCTCAAAAACAACACCGTAACTCAACGAGAGAATTGGATCGCATAGTAGTGCAAATTGGTAAACAATTAGGGTTTCACAAAGAGTAAAGTTAAGGATCAATAGAGATGGACTTGAGAGAGAGAGAGATCGGTGATGGTCTTTGCTTGGGTGAAGCCGACACAAACTCGTGCAACTCTTAATCTTTTTAAATACAAATTAACAAAATAAAGAGAACCTAAAAAATCTAATCTCTAATACCACCTAATAAAAATAACTTAGGCTACTCAGTCTCATGAAACAAAGATCATATCAGATGATGGAATAGGGAAAATTGTCTAGAAGAGTTGAAGAGGTTTTGTAGATTTGGGCATGAGTGTTTCTGTCGGCTCAGGTTTCTGTCAACTAAAGCACACACACACAAAGTGTGTGTGTGTGTGTAAGAGAGAGAGAGAGAGAGGTCCATACCTTGGTGAAGACAAAGATGAAATTTGGTGCAAAGAGTAAATACCAAGTGAAACTTTACTCGCTAGAAGTAGCGAGTGAAAAAGGGATAAGGTAAAATAGCTATTGGGATAGAGAGCTTGTTGGAGAGAAATTTTAGGAGTTGACTCTTTAAAACAGCTAAGATACGGCTTTTAAAGAGTCCCTTGGAGTTGCTCTAAGTGGGGATGAGGGCGGACGGGGCGAGGGAGAAGTCTCTACCTCCATACCCACTTAAGAAAACTCTATACATCCTCGATCCACCCTTGTTAACAAGGCTATTTTTTATCCTCATCCCCATTCGGGGGGTAAATTTTAATCCCCACTCCTAACCGCCGCCACCCGTTCCTTGCCTCCGCCCAAGTCTAAGCCCAACATAATCCAATATTCTAAATAATTTAACATAATTATAGAATATCATAATATAATTAAAAGCTTGTCTCCAACATAACATAGTTAAAAGCTTGTCTTCCATGTAGATCTAACACAACATAATTCAACATAACATAATATCATAAAACAAACAATAAAGATCCAATACTAACTGAATATTTGTAATATATAAACTTTTTTTCCATGTATCTTCACACCTATAATTCAATCAAAAAAAAAATAAAATATAAAAAATTATAATAATTGCATAAAAATATATTTTGTTTTTGCTAATAAAATTGATTGGTTGAAATTAAAAAATTATCTTTGTTCAAAAAAAAAATTAGAAAATTATCAACTCAATTATCTCTAAGCACCATCGTTGATGATAGAATCTATTTCTTCAACGTCACTTTCTTATATCATTAAAAGAAAAAAAGTTATTAGATTTTTCCAAAGGGAAATTTTCAACTAAAAAGCTATACCTCATTATCAAGATCTCTTCTGCCCCGTCGAAGTGGATGAACCTAAGAGGAAAAATAATGTAGTAGTCATACTTTACCAAAAAAAAATTATGCTCAAACAAATAATATTTTATTACCTCTTTCTTCATCTCATAACCAACTTTGAAAATACATTAAAGTTTTTACTGTAGTTGGAAGAAGTCTATTGTGATGTGGATTGATCACCCTTCCACTTGTGTTAAAAGTAGATTCCAAGACAACGGTAGAAATAGGAATAACAAAAAGATCTTTAACAATTATTTGAAGCAAGGGATACATGATATCAGTTGACTTCCAAAAAGATAGTATATCAAAATCTGAAGTTATTGATATCATACCATATTCTAAGTAACGATCTAGCTCAAACCTCCCACACATTTTTATTATGTCTTTTGTTTGTACAAACTTATAAGATATCATCAAATAATGTACTTAAAGAAACTAAGCATCAAAATGCATATTTGAACTTGCTATCAAAAATTAAGGTACCCTTTGGTAACTCAAAGTTTTTGTTTTTTTTCTATTTTTGTTTTCAATATTTGTTAAAATTAAAAACAATCACACGTCTGATTTGTGTTTTTATTTTTATTTTTTAACCAAGTAGTTTTGAAAACAAGGATGAATATTGAAAAGAAGGAAAATTATGTTTTTAAAAACACAGAAAAACGAAAGCACACGGGGCTTGGGGAGGCTTTAAATGAGGTCCAGCCTTCGACTTTCATTAGAAGCAAAAAAAAGGACATTTTTTGTGGCACCTATATAAAGCAAAAACAAAACTCCTCTGTCACTCTCTCTCTCTGTCTCTCCTGTGGGTCTTGCGACTATGGCGAAGCTCGCAGGTATGTGGGATACAAATCAGCGAAGCTCTGGTGAAGCTCTCTCCGGTGAAGCTCTCCACTTTCTTCTCAACCTGCGGTTTTATTTGTACAGATCTAGGGATTTTTCTTCCTCTCTATTTTATTTTGTTGTTGATTTCAACATCTGTGTTTGTGTATGGATCTTTTTGTGTGTATCAGTGGTGGTGGACTGGTACTGATGGTGGTTTTGGGTGGGTTGGGTGGTGGGTTTTGGGGCTGTTATAGCTGGTTTTTCGGGGCTACTATGGTGGGTTTTGGGTTTGTTTGTGTATCGGTGGTGATGGAGGACTGGTATTGGTGGTAGGTTGGGTGGTGGGTTTTGAAGTTGTTGGAGGGCTGCTGTTATGGGTTTTGGGTTTGTGTGTGTATCGGTGGTGGTGGACTAGTACTGGTGGTGGTTTTGGGAGGGTTGGGTGATGGGTTTCGGGGCTGCTGGGGTGGGAGTTTGGTGGTGGTAGGTGGTCGGGTGTTTGGTGGTTGTAGATGGTTAGTGGTAGTGTTGGGTGATAAATTTTTGGTATAATACTAAACATATTTTTTATTTTTGTTTTTATCATTTTTTAAATATAAATGCCTATTAAACATGTTTTATATTTTTAATTTTTATCAAAAACAAAACAAAAATTTGTTTTATTTTTTTTTTATAAAAAAAACATAAAAACGAAAACGTTACCAAACGCATCTGAAGTTTATGCATTTATTTAATTTTACTTACAAATTATTGACCTTGAATGGGTATGCATATTATTATAGACTCGAACCAATTAGTTGATTTTGCTTCGAGCTAAATGCCTTGCATCACAAGAAGAAATGTGATTGGTTTCTTTTTGTCTCATTTTGATGACAACAATTTCATCACATCGATCAGTTTTGTGAGCCAATCAATACCTCAAACGTAACAGTCAATAAACCATTTACATAAACAGAGCTTTGATAGCTTGTATAAGTTCATCAATGAAGCTCTTCGAATTTCAGAGAGACAATTACAAGGTGAAAGGCCCAAAGAAACCAAAACATATATAAAAATGAATAACAAATTGTTTTATATAGACATGGCGATGGAGTCACTCTATGGTGATTTATACATCATGGAAATAGTCTCTATACATCAAGAATAAGACTGCATACATCTAGTCTTCTCCAAGTCCGCATAGGCACGAACCAATTGTATTGCGCTGAGCTGTTTGTCCATCGGAACTAGGTCATCAGCCATTAACATCAGTCTTGCACATCTTACCTCGAGTTCCTCGCTGTTTGCCCCCACGTACTTTGACGTTGATCAGGCGGGCGAACCCACAAATGAATCAGCTAATAGGCATCAAAGACTTGGGCAACAACCATGTTGATCCGACCTGAAAACATCGGTTTCAGCAGGTAAGTGTTGGAGATAATACTGACGTACTAATCTGTTTTGCTTCCTGAAGCAGAATGACATCTCAAAATGTAGCCTGTTAAATTTGCCATAGAAAATGATCCTCAATACAGACAGTCATATTACAAGCTTTCACAAGTTCTATCCGAATTTCTCCCTTTTCAATCATGATCTGGCAATGCATCACTCAAATCTGGTACATGACCAACAGCCTTAATTTCCTCCATTAACTCTTCTAACATGAGATATATATCCTCTTTTCGCAGGTGTTGCTTATCTCCTGCATAAAATTTATGTACTTTACCTCCCACTGATATCCAACTATATCCTGGCTCCTTCTTAACACCTTGCTCTTTCATCACATTTCTCAATCCAAGTCCATCTCTGAAACTTCCTGTTTCCATGTATGTGTTGGATAAAAGAACATAGGTAGCAGAATACTCTGGTTGAATGGAAAGAATCTTCTCGGCAGCTCTCTCTCCCAACTCAACATTGCCATGAATCCTGCACCCTCCCAAAAGCGCCTGCCAGACCATTTCATTTGGTTCAAGAGGCATTTTTCTTACAAACTTCAATGCATCATCAAGACGACCAACACGACCTAAGAGGTCAACAATACAGGCATAATGCTCCATCTCTGGCACCAAACCATAATTTTCCTTCATTGAATAGAAGTAGTGAAGGCCTTCATCTACCATTCCTCCATGGCTACAAGCAAAGAGGACACACAGGAAAGTAACACCATTGGCCTTAATACCTTGTTGCTCCATCCTCCTAAAGAGTTCAAGGGCATAAGCCACAGAACCATGTTGGGCATAACTGGATATTATAGCAGTCCATGAAACCACATCAGGTTTAGATATGCTCTCAAAAACCTTCGCTGCCAAGGCTATACTGCCACACTTGGCATACATATCAATCAGAGCACTTTCTATACACCTATCTGTGTTCAAGCCAACTTTGTACAGAAGGCCATGGATTTGATAACCATATTCAAGAAAACAAAGGCTAGCACATGCATCAAGAACACTAGCAAAGGTAAACTGATTAGGTATACAGCCTTCTTCCCTCATCTGAAAAAACACAGCTAATGCTTCCTCCCATTTAGAACATTGAGAATAAGCAGTCACAAGGGTGGTCCAAGACACTATGTCTCTCTCTTCCATCCTGTCAAAGACCTTCTTTACATCTTCAAGAGACCCACATTTGGAATATGAATCTACAATTGCATTTTTAACACTTAGGACCAACAAATCATACCCAGACTTCAAAACCATCCCATGAACCTGTCTCCCAAATTGCAAACACCTCAGTTCAGCAATTGCATTAAACACACTACAATAAGTGTAAAGATCAGATCTTACATTGTTTTGACACATATTAATATAGAGTTCCAAAGCTTCTTGGCTACACTGACAATGTGAATAACCAGCAATCATTGCATTCCATGGCATGTTCGCTCCACCACAAGCGAAGTTCATATAAAAAACAGACCTTGCATCGCACAAGGCCCCACACTTTATGTACATATCAATGAGTGCAGTACCCACAAGAACATTAGTTTCCAAACCCAATTCAGAGACATACTTGTGAACTTGCTTGCCCTTACTGATATCACCTAAGTTCCCTACTGCCTTTAAAACACTAGCCAGAGTGTACATATTTGGAACAAATCCTTCCTTCTTCATTCTGAGAAAATAACTAAGTGCTTCGACATGAAGGCCATTTGCTGTAAATCCAGAAATCATTGAATTCCATGAGACTTCATTATGTTCAGTCATATTGTCGAATACCTGACAAGAGTCCAGAATCACTCCCAACTTTGCATACATGTTAAGAAGCGATGTATTAACAAAAATATGACATGCGAATCCTCTTATAATAATCTGAGCATGCAACTGTTTACCCAAATCAATACAATCTTGAGCTATACATGACTGGATGATTGCAGAATACATAAATGCATCTGGAAATATTCCAGATTCCAGCATTTCAGAGAAGTATATTAACCCATCCCAAAAGAATCCATTTTCTGTTGATCCAACAACCATGACTGTCCAAGAGAAAACATTTCTCAGAGACATTTTATTAAATACTATCCTAGCTGCACTAAGATCTGAGCACTTTGAATATGTGTGGGCTACATGATTAAGTAATACCAACAAACTATCATCTTCAAAATTGGACTTCAACACATAACCATGTGCTGTTTTGGCTTCTCTTAGTGACCCTTTTTCTGCACAAATGTGGAGTAGATCAACCAATGCTTGGACTTGAGACTGCTGAGAAGTTTTAGAGCAATCAGTAGAATCCAACAGTTTGCTTCCAGCAAATCCATCAAATTTTTGGGTGGTCAGAGATGGGAAAGGAACAGTTGAATTTATAGTCTGCAACAAATTCTTATTTTAAACCAAATTTGAGAAAAGCCCCCAAGTTAAATGGCTGCTTAATAGAACATAATTTGCCAATAAAAAAGAAAACGGCAAGAGACTTCCTTACATTGCTATTAATAGTTGGGACTAGTGATACAAGTTGTAGAGCAGGTTCAGGAAATCCAAGTTTAACAGGGAAACTGATTGCCATCGTCGATACCCAGATGTACCATGGCCATCAAATGTCAGCCTATGAGAACAATTAGGAAACAACAAATTAGACTAATTCTTTATGTGCCTACTGGCTACTCCTAAACTACTTCATCCTCCACATTTTTTTCACTGTGGAAGTGGCAAGGAGCACATTATGATGATTAGAGTGACGTCTTTATATTGCAACTGGACTATTGACAGCCTAGGATCCTACACGATGCAACCAATTTTTGTGGCAACAAAGAGAAATATTGAAATTCACTAATTCAGGAATTGTTACTGATGAAAAGATCGACAACAAAACAAACCAATGCAAAGTTGTCATTCGCTAGTTTCACCAAACACCTGATTTGCATAGTTTTGCTTGAGAAACATCCTACAGTTCGCCAAGGCTCGGCCTATTTATGCATCAATATATAATATGAGACCGAATTAAGAAAATTTAAGCATATCAGGTTACAAAAAGAGTTATAAAACAGTCTGATATTTTCCGTGTGATTCCATTTTCTTTTCCCGCAAGTGACGCAGGAGAACATTCATGGACAGGGGAGAGCTAAAACAGGAAAGCATTTGTATCTATAAGGACTGACATCAATTGTGCATTGAAATGATCAATGCCTCCAATAATACCCGGAAAACACTACAAGCACAACAGATATAACCATGCACTTGCAGAGTCTAGCACCCGGAAAATAATACCCATCGATTGGCACTCACATAATCATGTGGGAAAAGAAAACACATACAAGATATATTCTGAAGAAAAGCGCATTTTCATCCTAGCACTGGGGTTTTATACAAATGTTTTATAGACGTAATTTTTATGCATCTACTAGATGCCCCATCAAAATTAATTCATGATCAATGAATTCTGACACACAAAAGCTAATTCATGATCATTTTGTACACTTACTAATTTGTGCTGACGCACAAGCAGGAAATAAATATACAAATAAGTTCACAAACCAAAATGTTATTGTAGAATAAAAAATATAGTAGCAAAATGGATAGTCATTCAAAGTAGATCTGTTCCAGAGCAGCCTGAAGTACGCAAAAAATGGTCCTGTGCTGGGCATTTTCAGAATTACTTTATTGTCTCAAACCCAATGAAAAAAGTGATCTCTTTACCAATTCACTTGCAAAAATCAAATTCTAAGTGGTTAGGGATTTTGCATTTTCAATTTGGAGACTTGGGTAAGATGAGTTTGTTGATTATACCCAAAAGAAAATCTATTTTCGGGCTTTGTTTTTGAGTTGATTTGTGGGAAGAGATCAGAGAGAGAGAGCGAGAGAGAAAGAGAGAGACGTCAGGTAAGATACAGGTAAAAAGAAAAACAAATTATAGAACACAAATGCATATCACAGAGAAATTATCAATAGAGCCGAGCGGAAGCACAGATTAAACTTTAATAATAATAATAATAAATAAATAAGCTAAAAATAGAACAATTATGAAAATAGCATGCTTAATGTACATAAAATCAAACAAAAACCCCAAAATCATCAAACATGTATAAAGCAGTAAACCCAACAACATCTTATTTCATAGCATCAATATCCAGTAATCAATATGAATAATTCAATATTAACAATCTAAAATAAATAAATGACAACCATACTGCAGTAAAATCATCAAAAGATGATATGTGTAAGGCCTGAGATTTAACACTTATAACACATGCTAATAGTAATGTCATACAACAGAATCTAATTGGGAGAATTAAATTTCCCTAATCTGCTTAATTGATCAAACATAAGCAGCCATAAGCAATCTGCTCTTAATTAAATGCATAATTTTTGAAATTGATAATGGGATCAATGTTGAAATAGCCAAATAGAGGAGAGATTAATGTATAAAATTCATAGTTTTATACGTTATCAATGTGTAAAATTTAGAGCAGCATATTAGTGTATTAGTATTACAATTTACAATGTGACAGTGTCATCAAATATCATCCAAGTCTAAAAACTAAAACTAAATAGCAGAGACTAGAAAGTACTAGACTCGGTAGAGAGAGAGGGGGGGGGATGTAGGTGTACCTGCTGTGTGTTGTGCCGCACTTGAAGTAATGAAAGGGGCAGAGAATCAGGGGGTGAAGCAACCGTCGATGGAGCCTTCAACTTCCAGTCTTCGTCTTCATCTTCGTCTTCGTGAGTTCGAGCGTACTGCGCAGAGAGAGAGATGACTGAGGAGGATTGAGTAGTCGCTCGACTGACCTCACAGACGCTCAGATGGTCGCGAGAGGATAAGAGAACAAACAATTTAGTGGGGGCAAGCATTGCCCAAAAGGGCCAAAAATATTGGTTTTATTCCATTTTAATTGACCCGCAGGTTTTTCCAAAATCGTACTAATGGAACGGTTTTCAAGAGAACCGCCCGGTTCAGTGGATTTCTTCCGTATTTTTTTGTTTAACCGAACTAATATAAGAATCAGTCCGGTTTAGACTTCGATTCGCCGGATATCGGGCAACCCATCGGATCGAGCGGGCTTTAAAACTATGGGTTAAACTTCAAAGCATTGAAATTCAAGTATAACTAAGATATCAGCTAGCAGCGCTCCATTTCACGAAAACAAAGATCAATAAAAATCATAAACTTATTATAAATATATAAAAAAAGAAAAATAGAGATTCAAAACATATACCAGAGCAATATTTTAAATATACGTGCATTGAACGTGAACCATTTTAAAATTATAATATTTTAAAGACCACCTTATCCAACATTCTCAACCTTAGTAAGCATTAATGATTAAACAATCAAGAACAATGTTGTACAAGAAAATTCAAAAAAAAAAAAAAATCCATATTGTGTAGTTTTTTTCTTACTAGCAATGTACCACGTGTATTAGACGTGAATAATTTGTGTACATCGAAATTAATAAAGTATTAATTATATGTGTAACTAAATTAAATATCTTCTTAAATATATCAAACTTAATTTTTCATTGCTCGTATTCTTTTAGAGGGTTATGAAAACTTTGTATGTTCTCATAATTCTTTGTTCTAACTATAAGAAAAAAGATAAAAAAAAAATAGTTAAAGTTCTAATTTTTAGAATTTTAGTGATGTTTGAGAAATTAAATTTTTTGAAATTTGTTTGATTAAGATTCCACTTATTAAATAAAATAAAAGTAATTGTTAATATACTGATTATATTGGAACAAAAAATACACTACTATATCTATTCAATATACAACTTAGAAAGTTTATTGTGAATGAAAAATTATATTGATGTAATATAAATTATTTTTAAAAAACTAAATATGTAATTCTTTTTTATCTTAGAAATAAGAGGGTTAAAATTTTTGATAAAACACATGTAAGCATAATGTTATATTTGCATATCAAATGAGTAATATTAGATTGATAGAGTTTTTAAAGATTTTTTGAACACTTTATTAAATATATAATAATGCATATTTTTCTAAGAGCAATATAGTCAATCAATTTTTTTTATAGAAACTGATATTTATTCATAAAGAATAGATAATTAAAAGAGATTTTAGAAATAATTTGGAGATTTAAAATGTAAGGATATAATAATAATTTAGATATTTAATTGTAAAATGATGAAGTGGTCTTTGCATTTTTTTTATAAGGGTAAAATAAATAGTTAAAAGTTTTTCATGTTAAAATGTATATTATGTTTGAAGGATGAAAAAACAACTTAGGTGATATAGTAATTTGCAATATTAACTAAGATAGCAAACAAGAAAGTAAGAGAACTATCAACCATCTAAAAAAAGATTTTAAATAACTCAATCATTTCAATTTTCTTTCACATTTTGTAGAATTGGTTCAAACAATCAAGCCCCGGTGCTAAGAGCAAATAAACTAAGAATTAACTGAATACTCCACAAGATTCTTGTGAAACCCGAAAATACATGCATAGTACATAAATAAAAAAATAAATAATTATATATTTAAAATTAATTTTTAGATTTAATGGTGTTTACCAAAACGCTATCGCATAGAAATTCTTCCAAGCTTCTACCTAGCATCAACTGAGTCTTCCCCGACCTTTGTCCATGCCTCTAGAAGCTTTGAGGAGGAGCTGAAGTATTCATTCATAACTCTAGATAAAGGCAGGATCGTTTGTAGAGAGAGAAACGGAAGAGAGAAAGTGAGAGAGAGAAGACAGAGAAGGAAAGTGAAATTTTTGGGTTTGAGTCAAGATTTGATTCGAGGGTTGAGATCAATATCAAACTCTACTTTTTAATGAGAGGAATTCACTAATAAGCATAGATTTTTAGTTGACTAGTTGATGTATACGTGCGTTGTATGTAAATTATTTTAAATTATAATTATTATATTATTTTTATAGCACAAAATTATGAAATAATTTTAATAACAAGTACATATTTGTGAAAAAATTACAGGTGGCTTACTGTAGAATGTGAGAAAGAATGAGACTTTTTGATATGGAGGACAATTGATAGATAAATATTAAATGCAAATGCACCAACATGTCCAGAAAATTGTCTTGTTCCCATGGAAGCACAAATACAATTTAATACACAACGGTTTTAAAAGAATAAGAAGTCATCGTAGCTGTCTAGCAACCAATGGTAAAATGTACTCCCCCAATGATATGCAGTATTAGTATTGTTCATCAAATACGAACATACTTATTGTGAGCTATGGAGCCATATATCACAAGATATGACTATATTTTGACTTAAGTTTATGAACATAAATAAACTATTTGATAACTTACATAATCTTCGTTATGAATCATTTGTGTACCATGGTGTTTCTTGCCATTCACTCATTTTTGCCTAATCTCCTGGTAGGGTAGTGTTGGGATTTAACACGCTTTAAACCCACTAACAAAAATAAATTAAAAACATAAAGTAATAAAAAATAAGAAATAATAAGACACAGATTTTACTTGGTTTGACAATTTGTCTACGTCCACGAAATTGCAGGGATTTCACTATTTAGAGAGATGAATACAGAGAGCGGCTGTACAAAACACTATAAACCCTAATCATCAAAACAACGAGTTTTATATGTCCTGTGCACTGGGCTACAAAACAGGCCAAATTTTTTTTCTTCAGGTTGGGTTATCATCCGAATCAACACATAAATTAGACTTCACAAAGGCCCAACAGATAGTACATCTATACGTATGGTAATCGATAGTAAAAACTCCAATCTTTTGAATGTTCTTCAAGTCATGATGACTAATCCACCAATCTTTACTACTTATATTTACTTTAATATATTGAACTTCTGTCATAAAAAATGAGACTCCATTTTATACCATAAATTTAAAAGCCGTTTTTTTACTCATATAACTGTCACATCNAAAAATGAGACTCCATTTTATACCATAAATTTAAAAGCCGTTTTTTTACTCATATAACTGTCACATCAAAATCAAACCTGAGCACCCTTTTCTATTTTTGGGTAGGTTCACCTTGTCATTTGNAATCATTTGTGTACCATGGTGTTTCTTGCCATTCACTCATTTTTGCCTAATCTCCGGGTAGGGTAGTGTCGGGATTTAACACGCTTTAAATTCACTAACAAAAATAAACCAAAAACATAAAGTAATAAAAAATAAGAAATAACAAAACACAGATTTTACGTGGTTCGACAATTTGCCTACGTTCNAAACATAAAGTAATAAAAAATAAGAAATAACAAAACACAGATTTTACGTGGTTCGACAATTTGCCTACGTTCACGAAATTGCAGGGATTTCACTATTTAGAGAGATGAATACAGAGAGCGGCTGTACAAAACACTATAAACCCTAATCATCAAAACAACGAGTTTTATATGTCCTGTGCACAGGGCTATAAAACAGGCCAAAAATTTTTTCCTCAGGTTGGGTTATCATCTGAATCAACACACAAATTAGACTTCACAAAGGCCCAACAGGTAGTACATCTATACGTATGGTAATCGATAGTAAAAACTCCATACAGTTGATCTTTTGAATGTTCTTCAAGTCATGATGACTAATCCACCAATCTTTACTACTTATATTTACTTTAATATATTGAACTTCTGTCATAGAAAATGAGACTCCATTTTATACCATAAATTTAAAAGCCGTTTTTTTTTACTCATATAACTGTCACACCAAAATCAAACCTGAGCACCCTTTTCTATTTTTGGGTAGGTTCACCTTGTCATTTGTCTACAACCAAGACTACTCTATATCNCAAAATCAAACCTGAGCACCCTTTTCTATTTTTGGGTAGGTTCACCTTGTCATTTGTCTACAACCAAGACTACTCTATATCATACAGATATCCATGGAAAAGGGATAGTTGCTTAAAAGTAAATATATTTGATCAAATTTGATCAAAGTAATTAGCAAGTTAGTAAACCAATTGAATGAGATAAAATATTTGAGAAAATGTGCTTCAAATAGCAAATAATAGTTTTAAATATTGACAAAAAGCTCTTGGAGCTTCTTCAAAACTAAATTATCGCACACCTAATATCCAACATCAACCAAGTTTTTGGGTGGACCATGATTTTCAACAAATTTTTAAGCATTCAGAAAAACAAGAGTTACAACTTGTTGAAAAAGTCAGACAAGCAAAGGGCTTGAGAAATCCTCAATCACTTTGCACGAACCTTCTCCCATGATATCTTAAGCACCTTCTCCTCATCTAATGCACTCCCCTCATTATCCATGCTCTCATGTCCTGCTATAGGTGTCTCTTTCTTCAAAGTTAATGTTGTGAAAGCTGAATTGTTTGCATGTTGGGCACAAAATCTTGCAATCCTAAAGGTTTATTTGCCCCTATAAACCTAGTTGTGTTTTTTTTTCTTTTGTTAATGAAAGTCGAAAGCACACCCGATCGTATTCGAACCAATAACAAAACATGTCCATCTTTCAATTTTTAATTAGTCTTATTTGTATTATATCCCACATTCTATAGTAATGTGTAAAATCCCCATTGAGCTAATTCTCAATCATAATTCCAATTAAGTTAGCATTCTATTCGGTAGGTGATATCCGAATTTTTTCTATTCAGGCATTTATGTTGTCCTCTTTCTTCCTTTTTTACGCGCTTTGAAATAAGACTTAATTTNTGATATCCGAATTTTTTCTATTCAGGCATTTATGTTGTCCTCTTTCTTCCTTTT